TTAGATTCTCTTCGTTGGCACCGGTTATCGAATAAAAAAATAGAAAAGTAGAAATATAACAGAAGAACGATTTTTAATTATTCCTTGGAGCATCTTGGTCTCTCGAATCGAATGAACGAATTTTAATTGCTGCTGGTACCCTCACCCTCGATCGTACTATTTAACAGATTCGACATCGTCAATTTCTTCTCCTTTCTCTTCACCTTTCCACCTCTTTCTTTTTTTTCTCTCCATCTTTCTCTTTTTCGTCGTTTTCTTCTTGTTCTACTTCTTGTTCTTTTTCTTCTTCTTCTTCTTCTTCTTCTTTTGAACGAAAGGACATCATCCCTCTCGACCTCAACTCCGACGACTTCTTAGAAAGGAGCACCATGCCACTGATTGGCAAGCTAATCACGCGCTACTCTCCATTACATTAATTAAAACTTAACTCTCGACTCTTCTCGGCTCGGCTCGGCGTCATCCACCGCAGTTTCTAACATCTTCTCCTTTAGCTTATATTCCTTCCTCTACTTCGACTACTTACTCTCTTTCATCCCTATTACACTATTCCTTTCGCTCTAGATTTATGAATCTCATACTATATTATCTTGTGTGTTAGCTAATGTTTATTTCTTTCTTTTCTTTTCTTTTATTTTATTTTTTTATTTGTATTTTTATTTTTCATTTTCTCTTTCTCTCTCTCTCTCTCTCTCTCTTTCTTTCTTTCTATACTTTCCAGTAAAAGTTTCTTTCACCACGGCTAAATATTCTCCTCTCCCATCTCGTTACCCAAGCGAACATTAAATCGTACATACCTACCTACCTACCTACCTACCTACTTGGAGAAGCACCGAGAAATGTTACGATCGAACAAGTAAGAGTGGTTAGAAGAACTGTAATTACGAGAAATATGGAGTACCTTAAAATGGAGGAGAAAAAACACTTTGGATAATCTACTTAAAAAGTATATCGCAAATGGCGAATTTTATAAGTTTTTACTACGATCGAATATAAATATATTTCTTTAATTTATCATCGTGCGTGTGTTAGAACACGTTGAAGATATATATCTGATAGAATTACATTTTTTTGTATAATATGTCAGCATTAAATTGTAGAATTCAGTTTAAATCGTGAAAATAATCATTTTCGTTTGTCCGAAATAACTAGGCAAGGTTTTTGGGTAAAGTATATATTAAAAAGAATTTTAATTGTTTAAAAAAAATAACGAGGTTATGAATTAACAAGAGACGCGTAATTAATGTATGAGATTGAAATTTGATTCGTTTTCAAAGTTTGCTTTTCTTTTTACAGACAATAATCGTAATTATTCATTCTTAGATCTTCCTCTACATTAAAAATTATAATACACTGTTAATCTTGTTAGTCAAATTTTAATATTCATACCTTAACTACTCGCCTATTATAAATTAATATATTACATAGTTATGTGTGTGTGTGTGTGGTATGTTATTCTGCCATCTTTCATATTTCAAACAAATCAGTATAGTTATTTCAACGTTTAGATAGTCATTTAACGAATAAACAGATTTCACGAAGTAACGTTAACATATATACAATATATACATAAACGATCGATAAAAATTTAGTATTAGCATTTAACGAAATTCGCGAATAATCTGTTTGCGTGATTCTAACTTTCTATTATCGTGTTCCACGGAAGAGCAAAAGAGAGAGAGAGAGAGAGAGAGAGAGAGAGAGAGAAACTGTGCACGAATATAAAATGAATATAGCGCAGACTCGTTACCGGCTTCTCTCAATCTCTCTGAACGTTCGTTCGCAGAGCGCATATTTATCTAATGAAAAGTTAGCGCAGTCTAATTACTGGGAAGCAGTTACGAGCAAATTCCATTGTGCTGTCGAGCTCTTGAAGATAACGAAGGCCCGAGAGAGCTCGTGCGATTCGTTAATTTCGCTGTCGAGTGATTCGATTGAACGTGATTTTACTTTAATAAAAAAAAAAAAAAAAAAAAAAAAAAAATAAAAAACCAACTTGAACAATGGAAAACCAAAAAAAAAAAAAAAACAAAGATGGATAAAAATAACAACAAACTAATAATAAAAGAAAAAATATTGGAAAATACGGATGATATAAGGAATACTCTGATAACTAATGACAAATTTATCGTACTTATGATTTAATTTCCTGCGAATCTGATATTATTCGAATCGATACTTCAACCGTAAAATATGAAAATTCACTCTAATGGTATCTAGTTGAGAGTTATACGGAGAAATATTCGATAATGGGGAACGATAATTGCAGTTACTGTTTGTTCAATATCCATTGCTTCAACGAATTTAAACGACGTCCCCTATCATTTATTTTTAATTTCAATATTTAATATTCGTTTAGCGAAAATATGTAACACGAGTTATTTAGTTTTTTAGGAAGAACTAATGAAACAATTTTTACGCAATTAGTTTCTGATAATTATAAAATTTAATCGATGGATGATGGGTCATCAATTATAATATAGAATATGTTTAAAATATGACGATCTTTAACTCGTATATTAAGAAAATTTTATTAAAATTTACGTTTGAATTTAAGCGGATAAATCGATCTATCTTAATTATTTACACTTTAGTTGTATCTTCGTTTTTAAATGTATTTTTTTACACGATGTAAAGAAGCGTATGGCACAAGACTCGAGATAGATCGTACAATCGATTTTGCGAAGACGTGATAGATTTGATTAGAAATTTCTTTCCAATTTCAACGATTCTGTACGAATCTAAGTAAACTCGGTGGTTACATTTATCCGCATTTTTCACATATATTCTTTCTCCCTTCCCTCTCCTCCGTTTCTCTCTCTCTATCTCTCTCTCTCGACGTATGTTTGCAAAAGAAATTCAACGAGAGAATTTCCGTGCGGGAAGTTAATCGATTTCGTGCGAAGCGATAACTATTCGTTGGATGATACGACGAAAATGTGTCGCGTGATTTTGGATGGGAACGTAAAAAAAAATGAAGAGGGAAAAGAGAAAAATAAACGTACGGAAGAACGTTCATTTTACTTTCGTTAGAAATCGAGGATGAACGTGAGGCAGATGATGGAGTTGAAAGAACGATGTAGAGAAAAGTGCACGATAAAATTGGGAGAGCTCCGATCAAACAAAATTAATTGGTTTTTGTACTATGTGCCATGTGCCGCAAAACACAAAACTGCTGCCCAAGATCCGATTTGTAATACTTTCTCGTAGCGAATAATTCCATTCCAGAGAAGGGGGTAAGGGGGACTTGGAAAAGTGTTAGACAGGAATGATTTTATCTTTCGTATATTTTTCTATCATTTTTGTGGTATATAAAAAGGAGAAAAAAGAAAAATAAAGTAGAAAAAAAAAAAGAAGTAACGAAACGAGAGTGTATCGTTCGATCTAAAGTTTTATTTTCTTTTGTTGTTTTTATCTGGTTTTTTCTTTTCCTTTTTTTTTTTTTTTTTTTCCTCATAGAAGACCATCACGGTATAGGAACGTTATAGCCGTGGAAACGAAAAATTAAAAAAAAAAAAAAAACAACCAAAAGAAAAAGAGTAATAAAATACGTGAAATAGTACGAGACCCGTAAGGGATGATCGATTATAAAACATAAGGGGAAAGAGAAAGATCATGCGTAAATGAACAAAAGATGAGAGTTGCGGACAAAAAAAATAACATACTCGAAGAATTGCCAGCGCGTTCATAACCCGGGATAACAATGTTACGCATATATGCATACGTAGTATATCAACGATCGTTGAGCTGAAAAAAAGGCATCCAATTGACAAACAAATTTGCGCAGGTAGAAAAGCATGCAATGGTTTTTCATTCACTCCTTCAATAAAAACTGAGTTGTATGTGTAGTTCATGTATACGTACATGCATTCGTCACGAGTCGATGAATAAGCTTTCCTGTTTTCTTTCTCTTTCTTTTTTGTCTCTCTCTCTCTCTCTCTCACTCTCTCTCTCTCTTCGTTTACTCGTTGGATCTCTCACCTTGTCCTCTCTTTATTTTCGTCACCGTTCCTAGCTTGATCGAATTCAAACGATCTGTCTTCTATTAACCTTCCCCAACGTTCGTCGTTCCGATTGACGCAACTTTTGGAAAGTTTTTTTTCAATTTGCGTACACTCAACGAAATTATTCCACGTCCCTTTTTTCTCCCTTTCAATTCTCTCCTTTTTCTTTTTTATTTTTCTTTATTTTTCGTCGAGGTAAGTAGTTATACGTCGAGAGCCATGTTAATTGGTACTTTCAACAATACCAAATAAAAAAACGTTTATACGAAAGTATCGTATAAGACGAAGTATAAGAACGAAGATGTGAAAGAATTATAAGAAATTAGCGTATCTCTGATCTTTTAGAAAAATACTCAAATATAATCCATAAACGTGTACTCATTTTATCAAGAGAGAGAGAGAAAGAGAGAGACAAATACTGACGTATTAGAAAACGAAGAGAACTTTTTCGTCCTTGGATCACAAAGCGTCACGTCTCCAATCCTTTCGTTCTCTCTCTCTCTCTCTCTCTCTCTCTCTCTCTCTTCCTTCCTCATTTTCCCTTTCTAAACGAGAAACGTTTTATTCCTGTCTCCCCCTCTCTTTCTCTCGTTCTATCTATCTCTCTCTCTCTCTCTCTCGTTTGCACGTCGCCTCAAGCGCTTTGTCGGAAGGCAGTTAATTAATAAATGCTTGAAGGAACGGGAGTTTTAGCTTGAAAAAGGGGAGATACGAGAGAGGAAAAAAGAGACAGAAAGATAGACAGATGGATAGATAGAAAGAAAGAAAGAAAGAGAAAGAGAAAGAGAAAGAGAAGAAACTAATATGAGCGTTGAATTGAAGAAGGATAAAAGGTAGAGTAGTATGTTCAACGCGTACGAAAATGTACACGTATTATTTATACAAACAAAAAGAAAGATACCCACAGGACACACACCCACACACACATACACACATGCAAACACTTTCTTATTGATAAATTGACTACTTGTAATGCGAATGAACGAAGAAATGACTCACGTGTCGTATAAGAGGAACTTGTCGTTGTCTTTGACCTCAATGCAATGACCCTTGTTGGATATGATAGATCCGTTGACGGTTACGAGGTTAGGATCACCCGATTGAAACCACCGTCCGTTCCACTCCTCTGGAAATTTACAGCCTGGAAAAAAGAAAGAAGAGAAAATGTTAGGGGTGAAATAGGGTCTCGTAGGCTCGACGACGAAGATAAGGGGGTTGTTGTTAAGAGTAGTAGCCAGCGGGAAGGATCGAGTTTCTGTTTCTGACGGGGAACAGTAGACGCCACTAGCATCATCATTGCTGTTACCGTTCTGCACCGCACCACACCGCACAGCACAACACCGTAACGTATTGTGTACCGTGCCGCTTCGCTTGGAAGGTTCGTTCGTCCGTCGAGAATTTTAAATTTTAATGCTACGACCTGGCCACACCAAGTACAACCACGATCGATCCTATACCGAGATCAAGTCGAAGAAACTTGCAATTTCTTATTCACGAATTCTATGCTTTCTCTTTCGGATATATTCTGGCTGGTTCTGTTACGTGTTATCGACCAAATAAAAAAATGATAACGTGTTTCGTCTATATGTTTTTCTTTTTTTATCATTATTAAACTAACGAATATTTTCGAAGTTTCTCAACGTTAGCAATGAAGTAATTATTAAAAGTTATATATTGTAATTATTTAGATTTATATACAATGTTGTATCTGTCTCTTATTAGTGAATTTGCTTATAAGTTAATGGGAAACAAAAGAGAGACCGTAAACGAGATATTCGGAAAATCGTTGTAGGTATTTTCTAAATGTCAAACATTTAACTAAGCTTCTATTCGCTCGTTAAGTCCGAGGAAACGTTACAGATTCGTATTCTCTCATGGAATTTGTATAACAATCGGTGGAATATCAAGCTGTCATGAAATTCAACCGTTATGTTAGACCAGAAGACATTTTCGTATGGAAGCTAAGGAAATTTCTTAAAAGCGATATCGCAAAGCTCCTCACAGTTTTCTTCTCATTTCCGATAAAATTCAATGGTAAAGGCATTCGTTTACATTTAAACAATCAGTTTGCGTTTGGTAAACGGTAAAGACGCCTCTGGCTGTATTTGTCTGTTAACATTCGTTCCATCATATTCCTTTTCGTTGCGTGTTGCGCAAGCATGGAAAATGTTTCTCCATCTCTCTACCTTCAACTTTACCATCATTCCTTCTGATCTTTAACGTTTCCCTTCTCTATATACATTTATCTATCTTTCTCTACCAGAAATCCGAGATTCCATGAACATTCCGAATGCTCTCGCCAGAAAGCTCGCCATTTGGCGCGGAGAATAGTCGGTATGCTGAGCTAGCTAGCTTGGTATAAACGTGCTTGCAAAAATGGAGAATCTTTTTCAGAGAAAGTAAGAAAGAGTGAAATAAAAAGAGAACGAGAAGATAGAGAGAGAGAGAGAGAGAGAGAGA